AAAAAAAAAAAAAAAAAAATACAAAAAGGATTAAATTGTCTGAAAGAAACACTGGCTCCAACTTTGGCTTTTACAACGAAAATAACGTCGAGATCCGACAATGCAGTATCAACGCCCTTTTTGTACACGGAGCCCCATGAAGTGGGGGGGGGGGATAACAAGTACCGATACCTCTTTTCGGACTGTAATAAAAATACAATTCCCATAAGCCTTATAATAAAATAAGCCTTCTAATCGTTCTGCAGTTGCAGACGTTCTGTCTCTGAAATATATTAGAATGTTATGGATTGTCAGAAGATTTAATCCTGTGTCAGATTAGTTTTTATGTTGATGAGTTACGTAACTCTAGTTTATTTTATGAGTATGCTTATTCTGAAAACGTTAGGTATTAAATCAGGAATGTCCTCGAATATCATGGTATTAATTATGTTGAAAATGGACCATATAAAGTTGTTCTAAAATTTAAGTTTAACACAGTGTGATCTTATACAAATAAACTTACTGATAAGAGTTATATTCTCTTGACTATCATATGCGGCATAACTTCAAACTTATTTAGTAATTATAACTTTGTTTTGCATATTGAATTGTTATAATATTGCATAGAATTCATAATATGGCCACCCCAGATTTAAAATTATTTAGTTGCTTTGGCAACCAAGGCGGCTAACCCGTAGGACGCAAGCCGCCCGTCGCATAAAATGTTGTTGTGAACCGCATCAGTGCTCGGTACTTATTTCTAAATTGACTTAGACTTACCTAGACCCAATTTAACTTTCACGATTATTTTCATTCAATTCAATGGCAAAATCATAAATTATAAATATATAAAACTTGTATAATACTAAAATTATAATTAATTATAAATTAATTTTTGTGACTGTCTGGGCTATTTGGTGTAGGCTACTCGGCTACTGGTTCCTGTACTGTGACTGTACTGTTGTCACTGCTGTTATTGAGTTATTGTTAGTTAATTTAAAGGCCATAATTACAACTTACTATTTTAAAGTATTTAATTTAAATAATTCAATTATTTAGTAACTATTAAAATTAAAGTATAAACACAGCAAGTTCTAGAGTAAAGGCAAAGGAAACCTACATTTCCATCAGAATTTATTCTGGTACTCTGGTTACTCAAAGTTTAGTTATTACAGAAATTACAGTAGAATTAAATAATTAGGCAGTGTCTACAAGCCCGGTGACCGGACAAATAGTGCGGGTGATATTCTTCAGTTGAGCATGTCACGTGACCTCCGGACGACTGAGTATGTATTATTATTCCGGCAGACATGTCAATGTCATGTGACAAGAGGTCGCGGCAAAAAATTTTTTTTTTAAAGTCCGTTCTCTTGGTATAAATCTTCTAAGGGTGTCATCAACTTTTGGACCTCCACCCCACTTTTGTCGATGAAAGGGGCACTGAAGGCCTAAATTAGGCCTAAACATTTTGGCTTAATTAGGCCTAAACATTTTGGCTTATATCTTTTCATATTTATAAAGATTTAGTATCTTTGATTGAATTCAAGTATGATGGCCAAATCCAAATTTTGATTAGCATTTTGTCTTATGTTTTACCGATAAGCTTTAGGTTTTTTCTTTTCTTTCATATTTTAATTACCAGTATTTAGAAGAGAAACTTTTATTTTCACATTTATGTTCATGTAGTATACAGTGTATTTACAAGTCATCGGGGAAAGGGGCGTGTATGTTGATGGTTAATATTCTGGTTCAGTGCTTACAAACAAAAACAGCTTGACAACCATCAATTTAATATAAATGTCCCTCAATATTTTTACCTCTGCTATCCCAGGTCTGTATGAGTCATAAATGGTGACTGCTTGGAGAAAACTGAGAGGTGGTAAAGGAAGACCTACAACTTAGTGAGCTAAAAATGCACACAGTGACACTGAGTTAATTTTACACAAAAATGAATTCAGAAAGTCCAACTAACAGCAAAACTTCTATTTGGAGTGCTCATGATTACGACTCACGAGTCTCGGACCTTACGTTGTTGATTGAAAGCTGCGAGTTCAGAGTTCATAAAGATGTATTGCAAAGATCATGTGACTACTTCAGAGCCATGTTTTCATCGCAAATGGTCGAGACCACAAAAGAAGTAATAACTTTAAAGTCATTTATGGCTGAGCCTTGTAAAGTTCTCTTTGAAGGCTGTTATACTGGGACGCTACCGCTCACAGAGGCTAATATTTTCTCTGTAACAGAGACAGCACACATGTTCAATACTTACACTCTATTGTTTTGTCAATGTACTCAGTATCTTACAAATTTGATAAATCTTAATATGGTATTTGATATCATGCACTTTTCTGAAAGCCTCTGCCTCAATGATGTTTATAGCTCAGCAAGAAAATTCTGTCTTGGTCATTTCATGGAAATGTCGTGCTCCAGCTCATTTTTAGGGTTATCTGTGCCTGAGTTGTGTGATTACCTGTCTGACAAATATTTAGCGGTGGAAGAAGAGGTACATGTTGTTAGAGCGGTCTCTTCTTGGCTCGAACATAATGAGAGTGACAAGTTAACCAGGAGTATGGTCCAACAGATAGTTAATGCCTGTATTTATAAGAAACATGATTGTGGTGGTAGCAAAGCCATTATTGGACATTTGATGGAAGTTGCAGGAGGCAGTAGAGACCTTTGCTTGGACCTTATATCGGTGAGCAGTTTGAAATCTCTTTGTTGTATGCTTAATTTGCTGGTAAATGTAAATTTTTGGGTATTTTTTGCTTAGTTTCATGTTGTTTTTGTTTTTTTTAAATTTAAGAGCACATTTAAAAAGTTGGATGAGTCATTTCAGTTAAAATGCCCAAAATACCAAGTCTCCAATGTTTCTTTCTTGCTAATTGGAATCTAAACTCTTGAAAAATGCTTCTAAAGGGAACAATTTAAATTAATCTAGGAATGACTCATCTTCAATCTCATGTTGTTCACTAGGCTGATTGCTTTTCTTGTTGGCACTCTGTTATAGAAAACAAATAGTCAAACGTCATTATTACTCATTTTTTGTACGGTAAAATTGGAATAAGACTGTCAATGGATACCCAACAAAAGCCTGGGATATTCTTGGATATATGATTTTAAGAAATAATTTTAAAAAATTATTTAAAAAAAAAAAAAAAAATTTCACCCTCTATTGCCTTTAGTGCTCTCTGTCGCAAACAATATTCCACTAGTGCCTGTCTGCTATGCCAGGTGCTGACATGTAAGGATTTTCATGTATGAAAATCAGTTCTTTTGGGGTATCAGTTTCAGAAAAATTGTCAAAATATAGGGATTCTGAGGTGGGAATTAAAAAGTGTTATTATAAGTCACTAGAGTTACCACAATTATTTTGCTGCCTTTTCGGATACTGCTTTCCAGCTAATTCTGTTTTTACTGTTTGCTCGCTGATGAAGGCTTCCTGCCGACATGTTCGTTGTTTTGTAGCTTTCATTTTTTCAGGTTTTCCTATACTTTTGTCTCACTCATTTCCTTTTTTGCTGACCAAATTGCAGTCTCTCCCCCTTATTACCAATTGTGTTAGCTGACCACTCATAGGCCTGATAACTCTGAAGATAATTCCAATTGTATCACTTTTGCTTTAGAGGGGAAATTTTATTTCAAAGCTGATCCCATTGTTATTCCTTAATGAAATTTTTCAGTGTTACCTGACTGAGCGTACAAAGCCAAAGGACATGTTTTTTTTCTGGTCACAGTTCGAGCCAAGCCATCACGATGGACTTGTTGACATCATCAAAGTTTCCCCTACAACATGGGAAGGGGTGAAATTTGACCAAATGACTGATGTTGAACAGCGACCAGGTTACGATATGGGATCAGCCGTGTGCACTAATGGTGAAAATATTTAATGTTTAAATGATTTGAATCCTCTGAACGTTATTCAGTGTAATGTTATGAGTAAAACAGAGTATGGTTAAACCTGAAAAAACGCGTTTTTCCTTAAACATCGATCTATACTACTCGCAGACACCGACACACGAGAAATTTTCTCTTCCCCACCTCTCATTGTTTTCAGACGGGATAAAAATCTGAGAGACCTGCTTGTACGCAGTCGTATCAATGCTCCCCCCTCCCACTTTGGGACCAAGCCGTGTGGACGCAGTCGTTGCAACACGTGCCCTTTTGTCGTCCAGACTGAACGCATACGTTTCCCCAAGGGCAGTTTTCAGATACGCGACGGTTTCCTCTGTACAAGCCGCAACGTTATCTACGCCATTGTCTGCACCCGCTGTCAGATGACATACATAGGGGAGACTGGACGCCGTCTCTCGGACAGGTGTACCGAACACCTCCGAAACATTACACAAGATAAACAGTGTCCCGTCTCCAAACACTTCAATAGTAGCGACCACCAGGGCAAGGCGGACTTTTCAATAAGTGCGATTGTGGCTAGCACTAACACCGCCAGCCGGGTCAATTTGGAACACAGACTTATCCTGACTTACGGCACTTTGACGCCAGATGGGATTAATGTTATGTCTCTGTTCACAGCTTGACCCTAGCTCCGCCCCTTCACGTTCTCACCTATCACAGTGAACATTTTTCTCCCCCCTTTTTTTCGCCGCTGCTTATTTAAACTCTCTCTCATTTTCCTTCTGCCACACTTCTATTGCTGCCCACAGATACTACTTACCAGCTAAGTGCTATTTCTTATTTTTAAAACGTTTTTTCTGTTGTTTTGTTCGCTGACGAAGGCTTTCTGCCGACACGTTCGCTGTTTTGTTGCGTTTAATTTTTCAGGTTTAACCATACTCTGTTTTACTCATTTTATTTTGTACTAACCTGATTGAAGTCTCTCCCCTTAATACCCCTCAGTGTAATGTTACTCAGATTACTGGTTCAGTTCATTGTGTCATGATGATACCACATTTAACATTTCAATTATTTTGAATTATCAATCCTTGAAACAAAGTTAAGTAAGTCTTAAAGACATTGCCATTGTCTCCAAATACACCTTCATTTACATTGGCTTTCTAGATCACAGAGACACTGCTAACGATTATTCATAAGGAATGGCATCAGCCGAAGCTCTTATTGACCCCTGTGAAGGTGCACCCCTGAGATGTTTGACCCTAGTGGTGAGCCACCCGGCTACCCCAGGAGTGGCTTCCTTTTTAGCCCTACATAGTACGCAGTCCAACTTCAGATTCCTATGCCTCCCTGGGGGCTAATAGTAATTCTATGTCGGCCACTATAGATCAGATCCTAGGAGTGTTTAAATTTTAAAAGGGTGCCAGGCACTACAGGTCCTCAACTAGTGACAAGGAAAAAATGGCTAAAAACATTTCTCCATGATAGTATTACATAAAGTTGTCAATAAGTTTAACATACCGAACACAAATCATGACAGGTCATGTGAGCAGATACTTCATAAGAAGTAAATAGATTTACAGCTTAAGAAATGAGACTTCTTTTCCTGACATTTTTTTTTATAATTACTAGCTTCATTTTAAAGTAAATTAAAGAGTGCTTCATATCAAAAGATTTGGAAAATAACATTATACTGAAAATGATATGCATATTAATAATTTCTAATAAGATTTATTGTCTTTCAGGCCTGTATGTTTTCTTGTCTGGTGGGGGTTCCAAATTCGGAAGTGTGTTGTGGATCAAAAACATTTGGTGTTTTGACTTTTCTGCACCACCACCTCGGTGGAAAGTTGTTGGGGATTTGAAGGAAACACGGCGGCATCATGCTATGGTGGCTGTTGGTGGCAGGCTCTATCTATTTGGTGGATTTGGAAAGTTTAGATGTAAAAATACTAAACTTGAGTGCTTTGATCTTGTGACAGGTAGTTTAAAGTTTATTTTCTCTTCTTTGCTTAACTTTATTGTGACAGGTAGTTAGAGTTTGTTTTCTTAGCTTTACTAAACTTTATTGTGAGTTTTTAAAATTTACACATTAATTGAAAACTCTGGTTTTAATGAAAGTTATTGGTTTAAATTAAAAAGTTAACATAACTAAAAATAAAAAAAAATTCTTGGAAGGGTGTAAACAGAAATATGGAATCAGTTTTATTGTTTATGGTGTGAATCTGAAAAGTATGTGATATAATCCTTTTTTTTCCCCCAGGAACTTGGGAGAATTTGCCAGAAATGCCAACACACGAAGTCAACCCAGTAACAGCAGTCCACCAACATAACATTTTCTACATTGAAAGGCAATGGAATATTTTGTGTTTTGACTCACATGTGAAGCAGTGGAAACAATTTGAATTGAATTTTTCTATTCCCAGAAATTATTTACCTGTAAGTTTGCACATTGACCCCAGGACCCCTGACACATTCCTGGCCGTTTTTAGAGAATGGACAAAATTCAGTTTAAAGTCTCTGCATTTAAACACAGCATCTGGGATTACTTGCGTTGGACCAGGGGCATCATCTGGGATCACTTGTGTTGATCTAGGTGCATGGGATTTTGATAACAACGAATTGTTATATGGATCTGTTATCATCGGCAATCAAGTGTTGATGTATTTTGAAAGCGCTGAACCAGAACAAGTTTTTTTGGGTGTCAAGAGCTTGGATTTAGACCTGATGGAGTTGAGTGATAGGATGGACTTAAGGAATGTGCATAAAGCTCTCAATGTTATCAAATTACCACATTTTCCAGACAGCTTCAAGCCTGTGGTGGTGCAGGACACATGAAAATAATAACCCGAGAAATAGAAGAAATGTTGCGTTCCTTTCTTTGTAAAAAATTTCAAAGTATCATTTGAAAATGTAATACTACATTGATAAGAAATTAAAAGAAATGTCTTTTAATGAAATACTCCTGTGTTTCATTCTCACAGTGTTAATGGCTGAAACTTCCATTATCAATAACTGCTTTTCTGTCATAAGTTGATGTTCATTAATGGTATCTGTATCTGTACTTTAGATGTTGCTCAATTTATGTCCTTTAACTTAAAAATGTGTTGCTCAGTGTTTTTCATGTGGATTAACTTGTTTTCACTCTTATGTACATGTTAATAAAATAGCATTGAAAATATGTTAAAGCTTGAGCCACCCTGACACTGACAGCAGATGAAAATAAAAAAGAAGAAATTAAGAAAGAAACATACTTTTTTTGTTATTGACAAGCATACATAGTGCTGGTCGCACTTTGTTTATACCTTGTGCTGTTTTAACTTGTTTTATTTTAAATCTAGTTGTTCTATTCTGTCCTTTACTAGTGAATTGTTTTTTGTCAGGTGAACTTTATTTTTATGAAAAAGGGATTTTTCTTTGAACGAAACTATTGAGTTTCAATTTATTTGGTTTGCATATAGTTGTCATAGCTTTCAAATAGCGTCAAAGCTTAGGGAGGTTATTTTGGCCATTGCTCTGAAAGAAAAAGAGTTTTAGGGATTGATGGATAAAAGACCTAATGCTCAATTCAAATTTTCCATGAATTATCACTTCAAAGTAATCAAAGCTACACTCTGACAATGCACCTGAGAAAATCATTTACTTCTAATTTTTTTGAAATTGTGGAGTGTTAGTTTAATTACTGTTCAACTGCATCTGTCCATGGCAATGCCTGTTTCATAGACCAATTTACTTTTACAACCATAAAACATTTCAAAAGTAAATTAAAAAATTCACTTGAGAAATGAACATGGTGGTATCTTGTTTTCTTTTATTGTACCGGTATTTGTTTTTTTTTGTCTTGGTTAAGAACTTAAGCGGGAATTTCAGGTAGTCATAAAATTAAGCATTTCCTCTCAGTGTATACACATTCTGTTAACCCTTGTATAAAATATATTTGATTTGAGTTCATTAGTGTCTTTTGGAAGGGATGGGCCGCAAACTCAAGGCAGCCCCAAATGGCAAAATACTGCATGCACAGACAAACGGCTTTGAGGAACCACTGACCTTCATATTAATTATTTTTATGGATAATAAAAATTAGAAACTGACCTGTCATATTTGAGAACTGGTCTGTCAATAAAGATTGGATCCCTTTAAAAAATCATTTAAATTATGTTCCACCTTCATAATAAGCAATATTTTAAAAACCATCTCAGACAATCCATTAAATGAATACAAATATTTCATACAATGGCAAACCCACACAAGTTTGGATAAAATCATGGGATTTGTGGGAATCATTCAAACCCTAAAATAGGGCAAAGATGCGTACACTTGATATTTAATTTTTTTCTCCACCCCGGATGATTCTCCGAATTCTTTAACTTATATTTTTGCCCACAAAAATTTTTTAATTTCAGTTATTAAAAAATATCAGATTTGTCCCTGTAATAAGAGTAAAATATCGTATTAAAATAATAAATACAAGGCCATCAGTTTACAAAGATTGTTTTTATTGATAAGTCATTTTTATGTAATTGTTACTAAATTTTTAGCTCCAGTGTCAATTTACAAACCAATAGAATGTATTCTAAAAGTCCAGCCAACATAAAAAAAAGTTATCTTTTTCCTCACAAATTCAAGTTTGTTTTTTTGTAGCATCAAATTTTGTTATCCCAAGTGACCCAATTGTTACACTTGGTGGCTTCTGCCTCGTGCTGACCCGTACTGGTGCAACCGAGTGTGTGTTGTCTCGACTGTTGGAAGGTTGAATTAAATCACTTAAAACAACAAAATCGTAAGCTTTGTAATATATAAGTAATTGTAAAATATGTTATTGACGTTTCCTTTATTGAAAGTCTGAGGTGGACTTTCAGAAAACTCCTTTTTATATGATAATGATAGATAATCTAAATCTTGTTAAATGATTTGAAATAATGATACAGGGGGAATAATCTAGTCTAACTAATATGGTGAAGAGAGAATTAGGTATAACATGGAATGAATTAAAACATTGCTAGGTTTCATGGTCAAATAGAGTTTATATATAGGTCTATATATGTTTCATTGCACAATTAAAACTACAAAAATCTGGAGAAAGGCACTCTATATACGGTAAGTATTACTCATACATAACAAAGTCAGTATGATTTGATACAACTCATATAAATGGAATGTTAATGGTCTCGATGGAATGTTTAGAAGATATTTATATTTCAACTAAATATGCAGTTTGTTGTTGAGTATATTAACTGGTACAAACTTCATTAACACAAAAATTTAACATCTATTTTTACTGTAGGGCCTCAATGTAGGACTTTTTGTAAGTTGTAGTTTTTAGATGGAGAAAACACAATATTTGAACGCTTGCTCTATTCATAACCTAAGTATACTGTGTTTTAATTGTTATTATAATACAAAATATCACATTGTTACTTTCATTTTAGTTAGAAACAAAATGGAGATGACATCTTAATTCCCATTTTTGTTGTTCAATACAAAACAGATCATGAAAATAAAAAGAATAAATATGTGAAAATCTGTTTCAGTTAATATAAACATCTCATAAAGTAGGCATATTATGATATAAATTACATATATAGTAGCGTGTGTACATAATATATATATATATATATATAGACTCGTATAATGTATTTATAACAAAATGACCATACATGTGCGATAAATTAGTATTAATAATATTAAAATACTTAAATATGCTCCCCACTATTGTTACCACATTTAAAATTTATAAACAATTATATAAATTTCTTTTGATTCCAAAATTTACCCCAAAATGACCTATTTGAAGGGGAATAAATTAATTGTATATTATTCAACAAACAAGAGAAAACTTTCCTATTTGATTGACTATTTTATATACCGGTAGTAATGTTGCTTGCACTTGGGGAAAAAAATCTTTTTCTATATTGGCAAAAAAAATAGCTTGGTGACTTTTACCATGAAGTATTCTAAAAATAGCAGAACAACATCAGGAAAAAGGGGAATTTGAGTAGCCCCTTCAAACCCCACTAAAGATAACATGATTTTAAAAAGTTGTTTAACAGTTTAACAGAATCTAGTTATTTTCTTATACTGTTGACATGTAGAAAATGTAACAAACACAATGACTTTATTAACAAAATGACTTAATAAATGCAAACAAAATTGTAACAGTTAATTCTCAACAAGTTTTAAATGAATAAAACAATAGCATTTCAAAGCTTGAGATATTAAGATTAAATTATTCAAATGGTTATTAGGGTTAACTAAATCATTTTTTTTTCTTCTCACATTATATTAGCTTCAAGCTCCATTTTTTTTTACCTACAAAAAGTGGTATAAATTTATGATTTGAAACTCGGACAAAGTGAACACAAAATTATTTAGGAATCGGGACCTTTTCTTGTTGTATTTGAAATTTTATTAAAAAATCAAAAGGCAAAGCTTTGGATGGTCCAGCAGTGAATTCAGAGGATCATATTTTCTTTATTTTTTTTTAAAGACATAGCCTTATTTCATGGGGATATCTTACAAGTGTAATGTGTCAATATAGAATATTTAATATTATATGTCTTCTATACTCTACACCACTAAATTAACATACATTACCAAATTGTGTGTTCAAATATTTTTCTTGCACAGTTATTAGTTGTGTACTTAAATTACTTCTACTTATATTAAGTGGGTTAGTAATAATTTTTTAAAATTTAAATTAACAGTCAGTGATTTTCATTTATTAAACTTAATGTTGTCTATTTGTTATCAAAGTCAATTTATATTAAAATTAATCAGTATTATAAATGTAAAACATTAATAAATGTACTGAATCAGCTGTGAATTTGAACAAAATAAACACACCGAGGAACAATTTCTTTATAAACATTGGAGTCATAGCCATTGTGGAGTTTCCACAAAACTCACTTTGATCTCAAATTGAAGCTCTTCTGTAAAAAATGACTACCGCCCTTTTCAAAATATTACTACTTAAAACTGAATCTAATGGAAGCTCATCCTGCCAGGATGCCAGGAGATGCATTTATATTCTAGCTTCAAACAACACAGTCAATAGGACACGCACAAGATTCATTTTTGCAACAAAAACAAAATATGACATTCATTCAATTTTTTTCAATAACTATTTGTTACATAAACACTAATAAATTAATCAAATAACTATTTGTTACATAAACACTAATAAATTAATCATGCTATATAATATAAAATTATGAATCAATGACTGCAACATATAACACAATGACTCGAGATGACTGATAGATGTCTGATATAAAACAAAAACACTTGTAGATAGTCTGACATAACTACTAAACAGCAGCTCAGCTGATTTTTTGCTGCTTGTTACTGTAATGGGGATACATGTGAGACAAACACATTAAACAGGAGATTGTCTATAAATCTAGGGTCAGACATCACCACAATGGACAGCATATAATGTATTTATGACACCTTATACATTATACATTAGACAGTCAGCACAAAATGACAGTCTGATGAGGGAGGATGGGAAACTGGATTCAAGTCATTGGAAGGCACCATTTCAAGCACAATGGGATTCTACTCTGTTTAACTACAGCAGCAGGTCTTGTAGGTCGCCACTTCCAA